CATTGGATGATGATATATTTCATGAATTGTTACCATTTCGACCATTTCATGAAATGGTCAATTTTACGATTTGGCCACGACATACCGGGTGTTTCAAATTATACTCTTACCGTTGGGATATCGGAAACGGTAAGAGGCACGAAATAGGTTAAATGGGGGCAAACTTGCGCATTTACGAAACTAAGAAAATCGCACTCATGAAGAATATTTTCAAAGATCGATGAAAGAAACGGAATTTTCCCAAAATGGTTTTTATTTTTACCTGACTATTTGCGATGCGATTTCGAAATAAAAATTACATCAACATTGCCAATTCTTGTTATCTACAAGATAACATAATTAGAACTGCAATATAACGTTTTGTCCCTTGTCTTCGATCATCAATAAGTTTATTTTTTGTTGTAGACGCCATATTTTATAGGTTACAGGTAGATATTTTAATTGTATTTCAAAAATATATTATATGCTATACACTGACATGATAAACGTTTGGGCCGTAGATATCGTCAGCCGTTCCTACAATTGTAGCCTTTAAGCCCTCCTTGATTTTCATAGTCATTTCTCTCCTTCAGAAAGGTACTTTTAGATTTCTACTGTTCCGTGTCAGCGACAGCGTTCTCCTAGTTATGTTTTCTTTTTGAATTGTAGGAAATTCTAGGCTGATAAAACAGATGATAAAAATCAAAAGCAATTTGCTGCAAATAGATATTTGTAACATAACCTCAAAAATAGAGCGCTGACACGGAACAGTAGAAAACTATGAAAATCAAGTCCATAAAGGTTTCTTATGTAGGATACGAACGAGAGATGATAATAACAGAATAGAATATAATGATAAAGTTGAAAACCACAAACCCATCTTAGAAGGTTTCGAAGTACCACCCTGTACCATTTCATTTTTACTTCAAAGGCAGTACGTAAACGATATGGGCAACAATGTCAGGGTAATATTAAAGCCACTTACTTGGTGACGAAACGACAGTCCAGGAACCGGGATATCACATTGCCCTGTCAATATCCCAAAGCTCCGACGTTACCCCTGAATCAGGGATAACCCAGCAAGATGACTTTCATTAAAGTAACAATCCCTTCACTCATCCTGAGAGAGATACATTCAGACTCCAGCGATTGCCAACAGAAGATAGTTAAGCGGTCATTCAGACCTAGGACGTCACCGTGTCAACATCCCAAGGGCTCCGACGTTTCCCCTGGTAGAGGAAACCGAGCAGTAATTAACGTAACTACCTCAACCCAGAAAACGGGCTCCGAAAGTCCCATAACAACCCCCACAACCTGGAGGCGTCCCACCTGCGAATATTCAATAACAAGACCTAAGCCATAAATTAAATTATGAAGGAAAAAGGATAGCATCTTTATAAACATGGCTAAGACATTCATTATCATAAATATAAAAGTATTATGGTTCTAAATCCATGCAGTACAGTAGAATAAAGGAAACATTCAGTGATTGCTCACCTTTCAGGTAACCAAAACACTACACCCAATAGCACATCAACACTGTAATTAGGTCCACAATACGCACTATTTGTTCTGAGAAGCGATTACGTCCACGCACTATTTGAACTGTGATGCGACCCTCGCCTGCGTTTGTAAGAAAGTTTATCCAGGGAACAAGCACCCAGAGAAGGAATGTATAACATAAACAGGCTTAAGGGCCGTCGTGCTGAGTTACACTAATCAGACTTGTGAACCTTCTGGAAAGATTTTGTGGGCTACAGGGTTGAACTCGCATGCAAAAACGTGTTTGAGATATTTCGTAAGCTTACACTTGCAATTGTAGTAACGACTGACGATACGGCCCCTAGTTATTTCAAAAAACAGAATTTCCTAAGTGGGCCGTCAAATTATCACATAGACAGATGTTTCATAATATCATCATCCAAGCGTTCCCTCAGTTTTTATGAACTAGGGACAGTCCCTATTCCCTATTTTAATGATGTGAGATTGCTGTACATCTGCCTTTAGTTGGTCAGTTTGTCTCAACTCATCGAATGAAGAACAGCATATAAGTGCTAAAACTTTTTCATATTATTTAACGGTAGTATTGAAAACATTATTTTATGTAAATGTGATGGTAATATTGTAAGATAAATAAAAGCCTCGACGATATTGCAGCTTTCTAAGCACATTTTAGTTAGTTTTCTGTGCTGTTGCTCTGAAGCTTCCTAAATTTGAACCCAAGTTAGTAACTTTTAGAGATATAAAAAATATTGATGTTATTAATTTTAAGGGCGACTTACTTCATGCTGGACTTGATCGTATCTTTTACTTTATGGATGTTGATGACAAAGTAAGCTGTCTATCTAGTTGCATAATAGAAATATATGATATGCACGCGCCATTAAGAACTGCTCGTGTAACAAAACCGGCTGCTCCATGGATTACATCGAACCTGAGATGCATCTTTAAGGAACGCGATCAAGCTCTCTTGAATTTCCGTCATGACCCATCTGAAGTGAACTGGTCTACGTACAAAGATATGCGGAATTACGCACTTGCTTCCTTTCGTAGGGAGAAGAGGGCCTACCTTTCTAGATATGGTGATATTAGTACACGATCAGCATGGAAAACACTTAGGTCTATGAATGTCTGTCAACAGAAACGTGTTGATGTACCGTTTAATCTGCTAGATCCCCGTGAAGTCAACGAATACTTTTTAAGTACTTTTATGCCTGCCGATCAAAACCTCAAAGTAGTACAATCCACTGTCAACAGCTACAGCAACAGACGCTTCGATCCCGACGTGTCATCATTTCACTTTCGTCTGGTAACCCCTCGTGAAGTTATGAATGCAGTCTTCTCTATCAAGTCTGAAGCAGCGGGTTGTGACGGCATCAGTCTAACTATGCTAGGCTTATGCCTGCCTGAAATACTTGATCACATCACGCATATTATTAATATTTGCTTAGAGAGGGGCGTTTTCCCATCCAACTGGAAGGAGGCAATAGTCACACCTCTAGCCAAAAGTAAGAATCCGTCTGAACATGCCGATCTTAGACCTATAAGTGTTTTATGTTTCTTGTCGAGAGTCTTGGAGAAGTTAGTATACGAACAGCTTGTTGAGTATTTTGCTAATAATAATTTCTTTCCAGTACACCAATCTGGTTTTCGTGAAGGTCACAGTACGACTACTGCACTACTACATCTTGCAGATGAGATACTTTCCAACCTTGACAACAAATCCGGCACGCTGTTGGTCATGCTTGATTTTTCCAAGGCTTTCGATACGGTCAATCATGAGATTCTTTTGAGTAAGCTAAAATATTATGGCATGTCGGAAGTTCCTTTGAATTTCTTCAGATCGTACCTAACTGATCGCACCCAAAGAGTGAAAACATCTAGAGGAACTTCTGATGCACAGTATCTGTCATCAGGAGTTCCACAGGGTTCAGTACTGGGACCTCTTTTATTCCTAGTATACACATTCGATCTGCATGAGTGTGTAGAACATTGTTGCATTCAAATGTATGCTGACGATACACAGCTAACATTTCGTTTCAATGAATCCAACTTACATGAAGCATCCTACAAAATTAACCTAGATCTTGACAACGTATTAACGTATTGCAATAGACACTGTCTCCGCATCAATCCATCAAAATGCACCGCGATACCATACTGTCCTAGACATTCAAATTACAACATCACAAATCGGGTCTCCTTGTTTATCAACGACATAGATATTCCATTTTGTGATAATGCTAAGAATCTAGGTGTTATATTTGATTCAGATCTTCGATTTAACTTACATGTGAATAATATTATGAAGTCGAGTTATATGAAGATGAAGCTTTTATATTCTAGTCGCCATATTCTAAACTTTAAGTGCCGTAAAAAGTTGTGTGAAAGCCTCATACTATCAATTTTAGCTTACTCTTTAGTCCTCATTTACCCATGCCTAGACTCAGCTTGCAAGTCAAAATTGCAGAAGCTTCAGAACAACTGTTGCAGATTCATATTTGGGCTTAGGAAGTACAGTAGCGTTTCTTCAAAAATCAAGGAGTTACAGTGGCTCAGAGTTGACGGCTTATACAACTACTCTATGGCTTCATTGGTGCATAGAATTTTTAAAACTGGTAAACCCGTCTATTTGCTCTGTAAGTTGATTCCTCGTGGAAACCAAATTACTCTAAATCTGCGGCACAATGATCTACTTTCCATTCCTATACATCGTACGTCGGTCTTTGAAAGGTCCTTTACTTATAATGCGGTCAAGGTATACAATTCTTTGCCAGCTATCTCTAAGAGCTTAAGTTTGCAGCGCTTCAAGAAGACAGTCAAGTTGCACTTTCTGGACTCAGCACATTGAGTGATAAATTCATTTTGCTGAATGATATCTTGTTCTTTTGTTTCTTTTCTTTGTATATGTTCATATTCGTTGTATATATTTTTAATGCATTCGTTACAGCTACTGATTCATGTTGTTATGCTAATGTTTTGTAATGTCTGGTTGTAGTATGGTTAAGTGGTAGAGTAGCCATGGCTAAACTTCGCCATACTATGATCATCTTTTGAATAAAGTCATTATTATTATTATTATTATTATTATTATTTTATATCCGCCATATCTAAACCGACGCACGCACTTTGTATTCAAATACTATTAATCTGCGGCTGAAGTGTCACGTAGAGCGCCTGCATCGTGTTAAAGTAAAGCTTGTCGTAGTCGATAAATGGGCAAATTATCTGAAAGTAGAACGAGCTCCTCACAAACTTATACAAAAATTTTTAAAATCAGAATTAAAAACTGTATTGACCTGTTCAAAAGTCCAATATAATAAAAAATAAAGATGATTAATGAAGACCATACACGACACGTCATATAGAAATTCTAACCATGTCATCTTGTAGAGGAGAAAAGTGAAAATGTTAGTGTATTTTTTATTTTTAAATCCCATCTCAAATTGAAGAAGGAATTAATAAAGATGATTTTGCGGAATTTCGGTTTCTTTCATCTATCTCGGGAAATACTCGGAACTGAGAAACTTCCCAAGTACCATTTTCTTAGTTACCTCAATGCCCCCACCATTTAACCGACTTCGTATGGCTTACCGTTTCCGAGATCCCAATGGTGAGACTCGTATTTGCAACACCCGGTATACAGCTACTTATTTTCGAACCAGTCAAAGCCAGAAAACGTCTATTGAGGGTCTCTCCTAATATCTCGGAAATAAGATTACCGACCGACTAATACCGAATTCTTGACGTCACATCCATTGACTTGAATCACTGCTTCATAATTTGTATACATATATTTATCCGGTGACAACATAGATTTAAAGCTTAAACGTATCCACATGCTCTTAGCGTTCGGTAGTGTGATAAAAAAACTCCCCGGTAACAAATTTTCCCAACTGATTTAACACTGGATTTCCCAACGCTTACCAAACTGCATTTTCATATGTGCGCTACACAATAAAAAGTGTGATTTTATTCAATTTAGTTTTGCTATTGTCCGAAGTTATTGCTCTCGATAAAAGTTCGCTTTAAATGACGTGTTTATGAACCGAATTTGATAAAACGCGTTTTTATAATCGGGATAGATCATTCAATTGACCGGTCAAGTCGGTAGTGTTGTGTAGTGGTTTGTGATATTTGGACGAAAATGAAGCGTAAGTTGAATGTCATAACTTTGAGATTTGGGTGACAATTGTTGATTATAGGAGCAATTCCACGGTAATGTCAACCTGAAACTCACCTTACATGATTAATTGTGTCGGAATTTTACTCTGAGTAACTATGTATAGATACGCAACACATTCCCCGGTGTCTTTGCGCACTATAAAACGCATTTCACGTAGGGACTCAAATTGATAGGGCATGTAGTCCATGTTGAAAGAATCTAAAGTTTCTTATTTGATATAGACATTGTTGTAACTAGCTGTAATCTAAGATTTCGAACTAACCAAGGCTGTTTGAATCAACTGCATTCTATACATGTATAATAAATACCTGTTTAGAAAAATGTGATTCCAAATTCGTGGAAAAAAAAACTCTCGTGTTCCCGTACCACACACTAACAAAACAACGGCAAACGCAGATTTAAGACCCATTAGTATCTTATTTTTATTTTCAAAATTTAGTAGTTTAGTACGGGATAAACAATGTGGTTTTAGAAAACGCTATAATACCGCTGAAGCATTATTGGACCTAACCGACAACATTTTTAAAGCCGGTACCATCAACAAGTGACACCATTATTTCTTTTAGATTTCACCAAGGCATTTGATACGATAAACCATGAACTTTTGATAGCCAAATAAATAAATAAAAAATTAAGTGCCTTTCACAAAGAATAGGTCACAGAGAATCGTTATTGATACATGCTCGACATCTGAAAGTTTGACTCCCTGAAAAGTACACCACAAGGCTCAGTACTTGGACCGCTTCTGTTTCTCTTGTATATTTTCGATTTAAACAAAATTGTAAAGTAGTGCAATATTCAATTTTTGCAGACGATTCTCATTTATATTTTGGCTTTGATCACAGCAATGTGAATACTGCTCAATTTCAGATGTCAGAAGATTTGAAATCTATTGAAACTTATGCTGCTTCAGTTAAATCGGTCTAAGTCTAAAGTATTATTTTTTCTCCTAAAGGACTTAGAAGTAATATTAAAACTAAGATTAAACGGCAGTATTATTAAAAAAAAAAATTGAGGGGTATTTTTTGCCGAGAACTTTAAACACATACCTCACGTAAATAACATTATTAAAAGATGCCTTGCTGACCTACGTTAATTATATCTTAACAGGCAAATACTTAATTTTAGTACTAAGAAATTTCTATGCGAAACTATGATAATTCATAAAATTTACTTACCGCGACTTACTGTATCCTCCATGTTTAGATTCGTTTGCAAAATATAAAAAAAATCTGTCGTAGATTGATTTTTAATCTACGAAAGTATGATCACATTAGCTCGTATTTTGAAATTCTGAATTGGTTAAATGTACCTAACAAAATTATTTAAGTTTCACGTGTTATGTTTTTTCTAACCACATCATTTCCTCCATTTTTAAAAGACAAGCTGATAATTCGCGGATGTACCCACTGAAGAAATACTCGTTTTGTGAATACGTTAACTATGCCTCCTCACCATCTCTAAGTTATAAACATGAACTCTGCAGGTCCTTTTAAAAATTGATTTTGATATCATAGCTGGATTTATGCGATACTTATACAGGGTGTTCCATAATTATTGCGACAAAATGATAGGGGTTGTAGAGGGCATAAAAATATGCAATTTTGCCTTATAAACCCCTGTTCGTAAATATGCCGTTTGAGCACTACCGCTAATTTTACCTTACGAGAAACAAAAAATTCAACAGCTGCAAAATGTTCGTCTAGCACATTTCATGGTCTCGCCGATTTGTAAAAAAAAGCCTGCTGTGTTTACATTTTTGTTATCGTAAATTCTCCACACCGATTCATTTAATTTATCTGAGTGGTGCGTCAAACTAGAGGCCAATCCGCGTACAAGCGTGCGTGCTATTGCACATGAAATGGGAGCGTCTCAAACTACTGCTTGGCGGGTTCTCCATGACCAGCAACTACACCCATACCACCTTTTAAAAGTCCAAGCCATGGGTCCAGAAAACTATCTGCCGCGTCGACGTTTTTGTCGTTGGTGGCTGCAGCAGGAGTTGAGGCAACCAAACTTTGGTCGTTACGTTTTGTTCACTGACGAGTCCAGTTTCACAAAGGAAGGTTATTTTAATAGCCGTAACAGTCACATTTGGGATGAAGAAAACCCTCATGCCATAGCCATCCATAGAGACCAACATAGTTTTCAATTAACATCTGGTGCGGCATTGTGGACGAGCATATCATCGGGCCATATTTGCTTCCACCACGTTTGGATGGGCATGCTTATGGTCGATTCTTACAGCATGTGCTGCCGGAACTATTAGAAAATGTGCCACTGAACATAAGAGCCAACACGTGGTTTCAACACGATGGCGCTCCAGCCCACTTTTCTTTACAAGTGCGGCAGTATTTGGACAACAAATAGGTGGATCGGCCGAGGTGGCCCTGTGCCTTGGCCTGCGCGGTCACCCGACCTGACCCCACTGGATTATTTTCTCTGGGGCCATCTGAAAGCTTTAGTGTACGAAACTACTGTTCCCAACCAACAAGAGCTACTGGGAAGAGTGATGGCCGCGTCCGCACATGTTCAGGACAAACCGGGGGTATGCCACAGAGTTCGCCGATCATTGAACAATCGTGCACAGCTGTGTATTGAGCAAGGTGGAGGACACTTTGAGCAATTACTGTAGGTAAGCTGTTTCAAGAAACTGATCTTTTTTTTGCTGCATCCCAAACGGCATATTTCCGAACAGGGGTTTATAAGGCAAAATTGTTCATTTTGATGCCCTCTACAACCCCTATCATTTTGTCGCAATAATTATGGAACACCCTGTATATCTAATACTACTATTTAGTAGGTACTATACTATAATTTACTCATTTATTCTATTGATATATTTTTGATATTAATTTATTTTTGTTAACGGTTAAACGGCGCGGCGCCCTAAATATTGACGATTTATTATTATTATTATATTAGGCCAATAGTGATAACTGGGTTGAGATCCAGTTGAAGCCGAACAAGTTATACTTGAGCGGTGATTTGCTGGCTTCCAATCTGCCTATATTCGATGCCTATGCATTTTTCTGCGAATGGCACCGGCTGTCCCTTTTGATATATACTAAGTGACATATAAATCCGAACACCCAGTTTAAATGGTTTTATTTTAATAAAAGTTGCTGAATGTATTTATCTTACTGTAAATAACAAGTGAAAAAATTTTCAGCCTTATCAGTTGGACATTCCGGTTTTTATACTGCTTTTTTTAATTCACTAACGCTCTAAAAATGAATATTTCAGCCGCAGTAAAGAATCAACGTTGGCGGATTTTGGTTCTTTACATCCTTTACGATCGGTTGCGATGCCTAGAGTACGGAGACCGGTACGATTTCGTCAACTTAGTGAGTTTGAAAGGGGCCGTATAGTGGGACTACGGGAAGCTGGACTTTCGGGCAATTGCAGTTAGAGTGCAAAGAAGTGTAGACACTGTGGTTAGGTGTTGTCAGGTATGGCTTCCAGAAGGCCGTACGCAAAGATCAAGGGGCACTGGACGCCGCCGTAGAACAACAGACCGTGAAGATCGCCGCCTAAGATTATTGGCCTTAAGGGACCGTTTCTCCACTACCAGGTCCATTGCAAATGAATGGTTTGCAGAACACGGAAGACCTATTGGCATGCGAAGTGTTTACCGACGAATGAGAAGTTTTGGCTTGTTTTCATACCGGCCACACTGGGTCCTCCCTTTAACTCGAGAACACCGACGTAATCGCCTTGAGTGGTGCAGACAACGGTCACTCTGGGATCAGGAATGGAACAGTATTGTCTTTAGTGACGAGTCTCGATTTTGTTTAGGCATGCACGATGGTCGTGCCAGGGTTAGAAGGCGACGTGGTGAAAGGAGGAATCCACAGTTTTTTTGTTGAAAGACATGTTTATCACACTGTTGGAGTTATGGTTTGGGGTGCTATGGCTTATGGTTCCAGGTCACCTTTAATCTTCATCAGAGGTAACATGAACGCGCAGCGTTATATCCACGAAGTTGTAGAATCCCATCTTTTACCCTATCTTGACACCCTGGCAGATCCAACTTTCCAACAAGATAATGCCCGACCACATGTTGCAAGAGTCACAATAGACTTCTTTCAACATAATGATGTCACATTGTTACCATGGCCACCAAGATCTCCCGACTTATCCCCAATTGAGCACGTATGGGATATGATGGGTAGGAGATTGCTCAATTTGCAACGTCCTCCTCAGACTCTAGAAGCACTTCGAGAGGAGTTGGTGGTTGCCTGGAATGAGATACCACAGGAGGACATTGACCACCTGATCAGAAGCATGCCTAGGCGCGTTGGAGAATGCGTAGCACATCAGGGTGCATCCACACATTATTAAAGGTCAAAGGGCTTTAAAGCAGTGCAATCATTTTGAAATTTTTATCATTTACTTATTATGCTTCATTAAGTACTTATACAAAATTTTATTAAAATAAAACCATTTAAACTGGGTGTTCGGATTTATATGTCACTTAGTATATGATAAACTGGGTCCAGGCTGTTTAGATATTTGAATTACACAATAATTTAGTTAAGTTTACACTCCAGTAAAAACGATTAATTGACTTTACATAAATATACTAATTTTCACATTTTGAAAATTGGTCCAGAGGCGGCGAAGCTTCGGGCAAAAAAAATCGCCGTTTCAGAGGCTCCTGATGATTTTGGTATCAGAGTGGAAAACAAAATATCTAAGAATCAACATTTGAAATAGAATGAGGGAAGATGTGCGGTGCACCCAGAAATGGAAGAAATTATGATAAATGCAAGTAGGTGATGATCCAAAAGAAATTTTGTTAATCCGATTTTTGAATGCCTAAGGTTAGTAGAACTGGGAAAAGGTTCCAAATGAAGGGCTCTTTGACAGAACCCGGCCATCCATCGAAACCGGATACTAGGGTGCTTTTTGTTCGTCAAGGTACAGTACTGTGTTTTGGAAGCATTAAACTGTACAAGATTGTTG